ATATTAATATTTACATGCTGTAGATTTAAATTTATTATACTGTATTTATTTACTTTTTATTTAATTAATTGACATGTTAAGTTGTTATCCAATATAGAATTATGTTTTATATTTTGTTAACTTATATTTAAATGTAATAAATGTTTAATCAAATTGAAGCAAATAATTGCCTAATGTTTATATATATATATATATATATATATATATATATAAACATTATATATGCCTAATGTTTATATATATATAAATATATATATATATATATATATATATATATATAAACATTAATAATTGCCTTATGTTTATATATATATATATATATATATATATATATATATATATATATATATATATATATATATATATATATATATATATATATATATATATATATATATATATATATATATATATATATAGAAAGTGAAATATGGTTAGAAACTATTAAAAGAAAAACTGATCTTGGCAATTTTTCTGAGCAGAGCATGTTATTGGCAATCGACTTAGTTTAAAAATTAAAGGAAATATTATCATTAAATATTAAATATTATATTAAAAATTAAAGGAAATAATATCACTGAGAAAAACAGCTTATTAGCAGAATATTAAAAATTAAAGGAAATAATATCATTGAGAAAAGCAGCTTTGACATTTAGTGTAAATAAAGATGCTTTACATAGAAGGATTCAAAGAAAATTAAGAAATTTAGAATCTTGTAATATTTATAAAAGATCACATGGTTCATTTAAAAAAGTATTGTCAGATGATACTGAAAATCAATTAGCTATCTACATTAAAGAAATTAATTCAGTTTATAATGGATTGTCGATAAGTGACATTCAACAAATTGTCTTTCAGTATGGAGAAAAGTATAACATAGTTTATCCATTTAATAAATATAATGGAGTTGCAGGAAGAGATCTTGTAAGTGGATTTTTGAAAAGACAGACCTTTCAATAAGAACAATAAAAAATCGTATTTATGGTTTAAACCGCAGTTCTATAAACATTTATTTTAATAATATAGAAGTTGTTATAAAAAAATATAAGTTTGAAGCTCATCAAATTTTTAACTTTATGAATCAGGCATTACAACTGCACATAAACATGTTAAAGTTATAAAAAAAAAAAGCGAAACATTGTATTTCTTCTGAAACAAGTAGTGAAAGGGGTGTAACAACAACTGTTGTTTGTGCTATGAATGTAACTGGACTATTACATTCATAGCACAAACAACAGTTTGTGCTATTAATGTAATAGTCCAGTTACATTCGCTCCACCAATAATTATTTTAAAGAGAAAGCGAATGAAATTAGAACTAATCGACCATGCTCCCACTGGAACAATTGGAGGGTGCTCTAAAAATGGATGGATTACAGCTGATCTGTTTATGGAGTATATAAAAGACTTAAGTACACTAGAGCATTTATAGTAAATAAAATTCTTTTAATTTTAGATGGACACAAAACTCATACAAAAAAATTAATTTGCTAAATTTTGCAAAGAAAAATGGAATAGTTATTATAATCTTACCACCTCATACTTCTTCTTTGCAGCCACTTGATCGATGCTTTAACAAACCGTTAAAACTTTTTTATAATATAAAATGTGGATCATGGTTGCATGAGCATTCTAGAAGAAAAATAACAACTGATCAACTTGGAGGTATATTCTCCAAAGCCTATAATAAGGTTGCCTTTGTAGAAATTGCCTTTTCTGGTATTCGTAGATCTGGAATTTGTCCTTTTTGTCTGGATATAATTCCAGACACTGAGTTTAATGATGACAAAAGATCTAATGTCATCTTACATAAACCTGATAAAATCGAATCACAGGTTAATTCGAGCACCTTATTACCATTGCCCTCAGGATCTTCAGAAAATATTGATTTTAATATAACATCATGCTTTTCTAATATTGTACTAATTCCAAAGATCATTTTACCACCAAAAAAGGGAGAAGAATCACAGATAATAACATCATCGTATTAAAGAAAATCACTATTTGAATCCTCTGAAAAACCAAAAAAGTTAAAAGAACACAAAATAGAAAATAAAAGTGCATATGGAAAGGGTAAAGAAAAAGTTAAAAATTTAAGTGTTAAAGACTGGGAATGTTATGTTTGTAATGGTTTATGGAATAAGGCTGCAAAAGGAGAGAAGTGGAGTCAATTTTCAAAATGCACAACCTGGGCTCATGTTCGTTTCAAAATACTGGTCAAGCAATATGTGATTTATGTGACTAGTGACAGTTTGATTATAGCTGTAATATATTGTAAAATGTATTTCTTGCTAATCCTCTTAAAGATCTGTTTTAGTTTAACTTTATTTATTTAAATTACTAAAAAAAAATCTGTCTTATTTTGCCTCGCATAGCGAGTTAAAATGAGACAGGATAGGTGCTGTCAATAAATGATCTCTGGTAACCAAACCACTGCAGTTTTGCAACTCATACTTTCTAAGCTTTAAGTAGGGTGGTAGAAGATTTGAAAAATATCAAGTTATTTTTTCAAACGTTATTAGACAAATTAGATAAAGTATTAGATAAATTAGTGCTTAAGTGTCTCATTTTGCCCCTCGTTACGCTAATTCTTACTAATTGCTTTTTTTATCATTGAATAGTAATATTCAATAAATGGAATAATGTATCTACCTGAAATTTAGTACAATCTTTTATTTGGTGAATTTAAGTATCGTGTTAGTTACTACCTAGTCTTGCTAATGCTCATTTAAAGCATTAAAAGTTTATTAAATTTTCAGCATATTTTCAAAAATAAATTTCTTTTCCGGCTCGGGGTAGAACATTATTTTTTGCAGTTATTTAACGACATATTGAACTTTGATTTTTTGCAAAGTGGAATTCTTTTAAACGTTTTTTTTTTTTTTTTTTGCGGCTCTATCAAAATTGACATTTAATGTTCTTGTAACAGAATCATTTATTAAATGGCTAATTTTCAAAATTTTAAAAGGTTTATTAAAAATTATTTTTGTTGTCATTAAAAAATAGATTTAATTAGCTTTAAAACGATATATAATAACCCACATTCATTTGATTATATTGCCTTAGTATTAAAACGTATCAAAAAACACCTTCAATGAGGCGAAACCAATTTTTTTATCATTTTATAAATATGTAAATTTGAATACCGGTAGAACAACAAATCAAACAAAACTGATATTTCAGGTTTTATTTATCTATAATGTAAGCTTTTAACCTGCCTTGTTTCATCCAAACTAAAACAAATTTTTTTTGTTTATTGGCCATCCTGCTTCCCGTTTGTCCACTAAAACAAACTTGACAGCCACCTAATGCCGCTAATTTTGGGAGTAGCCAATAAACATTAAAAATTTAATCCAAATAAAAATATACAAACGTGTATTCATAGTCTGATTAAACAGATTAACTTTTCAACTATTTTTGGACAATTATTAACCATTTAATCATTTCAACAGTTCCATTTTGGATAATTATTACCAATTTAATCCTATCAATAATTTCCTATGCATAATTATTAACGATTAATATAATTCATCTTGGAAGATTGTTAAAGATTGAAACACAATTACAGCTACCCTGGCTTTTAATTCCTCACTAAACGTTAATGTATATAAAATCCGTTGTCCTTAACTAAAGTATTGTTATATACAATAAATTCAAAATTTTATCAAGTTACGAAACCGGAAAAAAGGTTCAAGATAAAAGTTTTTGAATCACAAAAATGTTCTATTTTTAAACATTTAAAGGAGGGTTATATAGTAATCATTGACAATGTCAAAATTGATTGCGATGAGAAAACCAAAAGTATTGAGTTTATGACGCTCATTTACAAATTTCATTAACGGTACCTATAACGGTGACACCAGCGGTACGCAGTTTTTCTAAATTATATAAAGCATACTTACGCGCAACAATGACAAAAAATGCACTCGTTGGCACAAACTTCTATCAAAAATAATATTGCTTCTGGACTCGACTACTAAGCAATAAATTTACGGTTTTGAAACATGAAAGCAAGAAAAATGAACTTCGCCTAAAATAAAAATGAAAATTTTTATTTATTCAAAAATTTATTATTAGAAAATTGCATAATGATTAAAATTTGACTTTTTTTTATTCAGCTAAATTTTGTTAGTTTAATAACTTTAATAACTTGAATTTTAAATTTTTGGAACTAGATGTGCATAACAGAATAAAAGTTGCGAAATGTTTGAGAGTGTTGATCAAGTTACCAACTCTTTCGAGTTCGAAGTGTTGTTCAACTCTTTGACTTTAAAAGAAATTAAAAATAGTTTAGGCAATTATTTTATCACAATAAATTAATCGGCTGCAAAAGCTCTTTTATCAAACTACTGTTTTTAGCAGCAGTTTGATAAAAACAAGGTTTTAGTTCGATAAAAACGAGATTTTAGGAGAATCGCATTTTCTTAGAATAATTGCGTTAATGAATAAATAGCATAAGGAGTAAAAAATTAAATTTGATAGAAATGTTGAATTATTTTACTTTAACTAAAAATAAAAAATCACAACTTCGTGCTAATAAGAGATCTGCACGAAGCGCTTTAGCGTGTTGCTTATTAAAATATTTTTTAGCAAAAGCAAATTGTTGAAAATAAAATCAATCTAAGTATAAAATCAAAAATTCATATAGTGTTTTTATTAACTTCAAATTTGTATGGAGTTTAATAATATTTAGTCAAATATATAATTAACGAAATACGTAAAATATATGACTAATGAAATATATAAATAATAAAATATACATCAAATAAAAAAAAAAAAAATTTATTATTTAAAAACTAGTATATTATTTTAAATATGACAAATGAAATATACGAGATGAAATTACATCAAATATATATGTAATATTTAAAAATATTTAATTGATGAAATATTAAAACACATAACTAATGAAATATTTAAAATATATATCTAATACAAAACTAAAAAAAATTTCATCTGTTATTTATTAATTATTTTTTGAATTTTTTTTTTTTTCTAAAGAAAAATAAAGCTGATTTTGTAAACCGTACAGATGCTCTAATATTTACCAAAAAGTTTATTGAACATGATGCTGTGGATCACGTCGACAGGTTAATATTGCCAGAAAAAGACTCTGAAGATGAAACAGATAAAGTTGATCTCACTGATGACGAATTTAATCAGTTTGATTCATCTGAAAGCGAAGTTGTCGAGTTAGAAGAAGAAATACGGAACGAAACACTTAAAATGGATGCAAACTTAAAATATATTGAATCTCAAATGAAAATTTTGTTAAATAAACTTAAAGTCAGAAAGGAAGAAGATGAACGTTTTGGAAAGAATTCAGATGTTTGGACAGATTTTTATAATAATGCTTTTATAAAAATGTTTTCAAATTAATATTTCCAATATAAAAAAAGAAATTAGTTTAGGTTGCTGCTATGATCTGCAGTAACCTCAACATTTTTTCCTTTAAAGATTTTTTTATTGTTGCTCGATAAAATTTGAGGAGGGCATGTACAAAAGTCATTGTTTCCCCTCCATTCTTTTTCTTACCATTGTTTTTTAGCTTTTCTTTAACCATTTAAAACTTAGTGACTATCACTAAGCAAACAATTCTTAAAATATTTTTTATAAAACTATTGATAAGAAAACATTTTAAAATAAATTTGAAAAAATAAAAAATTACAAAAAATAAGGTTTGCAATAAAAAAACATTTCTGTAACTAATACACATTGCTAATAACTATTAAAGTGTATATTAAATTTAATTTTATTTATTTATAATATTTTATATTTAACTTTAACTCCAAGATTAAATTAAGAACAAATTTGTTTTATTTTAACTATTTTCTTTTTTCAATTTATTATCTTTCGTTATTTTTATTTTTTTACAGTTACACCAGTAAAAGCGCTGCGAATCTAATATGTACAAATACGATCAATAATTGATCATGTTTAAGTTCTAGTCTTTTTTTGGAACCCCGCTAAGCCAACAAAAAATTAACAAAAAATTAAAAATTGATCTAAAAAAAAACAATGTTTCATAATTTTTATAAAACACTGTTTTTTTTTAATTAAAATTTTTCGTTGACTTAGCGGGATTTCAAAAAAATACATGAAGTATATATATATATATATATATATATATATATATATATATATATATATATATATATATATATATATATATATATATATATATATATATATATATATATATATATATATATATATATATATATATACTTTATGTATATATATATACTTTATGTATATATATATATATATACACATATACATATATATATATATATATACATATATATATATATATATATATATATATATATATATATATATATATATATATATATATATATATATATATATATATATATATATATATATATATATATATATATATATCAGTGGCGGAACTTCAAAATTTGGGCCCCCCCCGCAAAAGAATGTTTTTTTTGCGGAAAAGAGTTTTATAGTATAAATATTATTGAGAGTATAACTTTTTTTATATGAGGGCCCCCCTATAGCTGGTAGGCCCCCCCCCCCGCAACGCAGGGTTCTGCGTCCAGTAGTTCCGCCACTGATATATATATATATATATATATATATATATATATATATATATATATATATATATATATTATATTAAATTATATACGCATATATGATTTTATAAATATAATTAAAATATATTTATATAAGATTGTTACAATTTTACTTTTATATATTGTATTATAAGTTAATAATATATAAAAATTATTAATATATATAATTAATAATACATAAAATATATTAATATATATATATATATATATATATATATATATATATATATATATATATATATATATATATATATATATATATAATTAATTTAAAATACAATATATAAAAATAAAATTGTAACATAATTTTATATAAATATATTTTATTTATATTTATAAAATTATATGTTCCTATAATTTTATTTATATATAATTTTAAAATATATATAACTTTAACTGAATTTTACCAATTATTCATTTAAAATAAATATAAATTTATAGATATATATAATATTTATGTGTACTAATTTAAAATTCATTTATGATATGTATATATATATATATATATATATATATATATATACATATCATATATATATATATATATATATATATATATATATATATATATATATATATATATATATATATATATATATATATATATATATATATATATATATATATATATATATATATATATATATATATATATATGTACAAATAAATATTTTCAAAGTAATGAACCTATATTATTCAAACATCATTAACTTAAAATTTAAATGCATGGGCGTAAATAATATGCCATTTTTTTAAAATGTTGTTTGTTTGCCGATTATTTTTATTTCACGCATGGTTTTTGTGACAGTATTCGTAACCTATGATGTTTTCAAGCGTTTACACTTTATTTTGATAAAACTTTTTAGTGTATCAAAATAATTATAAGAATGAATAAAAAAGATAAGTTAAAGAAAATGATTAAATTCTTTATATTTAGGTTTATGGATACCTCTCTTATAAATTTTTTTTTTTTTGAATGAGAAGAGAACAGACCCTCTAGCTACAGTACTCTATCCAATTATATATTTCTAGAATTATTAACACTGATATTATGCTTAAAAGTTAATTAGAACCAAGTTCACCACGAATAAATTCGAGTTATTATATTTATCTTTAAAACTTATGTACAACGTAAATGGTTTGTTATTTTTGTTGTTATAAATATACAAAAAAAAAAAAAAAAAAAAAAAAAAATAAAAAAAAAAAAAAAAAACTTCAAAAAATCCACTACTTGTATTTATATATAAAATAAATTTTTTCGTGTTCTCATGCGAGATCAAAACAAGATTTTTCGTTTTTTTGAAAAAAAAAAAAAAAACTACATGAAAACTTTAAAGAAATTATTTGTATGACTAATTGTTAACCTTTATTTAAAAATATAATATAAATATACAAGTTTTTAGTTTGCAAACCATTTTAAAATTGTTTCGAGTAGGTAAGGAAATACACCGCGATTGATTTTTGATTCAAACTGTTTCCGTAAAGAAAATCTGTCTTTCTTGGAGCTCACTGAGACGTCAAATCTTTTTAACTGCATCATCATTTCCAACTTTAATATCTACTCACATAAGTCCTTTCCTTTTTTTATATTCGTCAAGATTAAGCGATTTTCTTGAAAAATTTTCCCGCTGAAAAGTAGGTGGTTTTGTTTGTGTTAGAGATATACCACGTGACGCTAAAAAAATAAAAAGACAAAAGGTTAAAAAAAAGGTTTATAAGTATGACAGAACTTATAAACCTTTTTTTTTTTTTAATTTATTAAAGATACATATTTGTCATAAACAAAGCTAAAAGATAAATAAAACTAAATCGGATTATTTAAATTAAGATATAAATTAAAATAAATAAAACTAAATCGGATTTAACATAAGAAACTTTATACTATAGAGTAGGGCGGGGTCTGTTAGATTAATTTTTAAAAACAGATTATTTAAAGGCGCGTCAAAATTTTCTCTGTTATAAATATAATTTAAACTACTAATAATTGAAAGAACAAATTTTTACAGATTTGTTGAGAAAAATATTTCCTAATGTTAACCAAGCTGTTAAATCTGCGCTAGCAGAAAAGGTTAGGTAGCTGTGTGTTGTGTGTTGAAGCAGTTGTGTGGAGAAAGCTGAGCATTAAACGAACTAATGCATACGCATGATGTAGAATAACACTTTAACATTAACACTTTACTAAGACACCTGTTAACAGTAACGAGTGGCAACTGAAAACCGAGACTGGATTTAAAGACACATATCTCTTTTAATGTATAAGGTATAACAAAAACGAAAAATGTTTTAAAAAGTATTTTTATTCTAGTTTTAATCTAAATAATCAGTTATTTTTAAATAAACAAATAAGTAGCCTCCTCGTCTGTAGTGGCCTTCTCGGCCTTGAAGAGGTGAATTAAAATAAAATTAAAAAAAAAAAACACTCCGTATGAGTTCAATATCAATTTATTAAAGCAATACTTGATTCTAGAGCATAATTTTTGGAGATTTTCTGCTAATTATTCTTTTTTAAAAAAGGCCTTTCAAAATACTCCAAAATTTTTTGTTAGAACGACATTCTGCAAGTTTGCAGGGTTATCTGCTTTTTCAACAAAATGGACTTTTTTCTTGTTTAGGTACGTGATTACTGTTTTTGCATAGTGAGATGATGCCAAATTGGCCCATAATACATATGCATAATCTGAATTAGGGGCGGTAAACGATTAATGATTAATCAATTAATAAAAACTAATCGTTGATTGATTAATTAACAAACGAATAATCGATTATTTTTTTTGCTTTAAAATGCTATAATTATTATAGTATTTTTTATTAACACTTCGTTGTTATAATAAAAAAATAGCATTTTTTAAGAAACAATAACTACTGTTTTCACTTTTCAGGTACTGGTAAAAAAATGTAAACAATACACGGATTTCTTTTTCAATTATATTATATATTTCGCCGTTTGAAAATAATTACAATAACTAAATAAATAAAAATTAACATGACAGGAGCAAAAAGAAGACTAAAGTTGTCTTACCATTAAGCCCCGATTTATAGTCTCAGTTCCGTTCCGCAAATTATCTCAAAATTGTTTAGAAAAGTAAACATTTCTAGAATTTGAGAAGATTTGAAAAAAAATTTAGGAAACAGAATATGACATATTGATATTACTTTGATATAAAATTTTTTTAACGCTAAATATCTTCCTAGATAAATTTATCACTAACTTAAGTTCGAAATATTTATCTTACTAAACGATTTTGCGATAATTTATGGAACGGAACTGAGACTATAAACCCGTGTATTAATACAATGCAGCCGTAGAGAAGCCTGAACGCCTTTTACGATGTCGTCTGGAAAAAATAGTTTTGACGTTTAGAAGCATTATTCATTAGAAAACAAAGCGAAATCACCATACAAATGAAAACATTGTTCTGCCGAAATAAAATTCTATTCATTGACTTCAAGTTTCTTATATCATTTAGAGCACAAACATAAAATTTTTCGACCAAAATTGTTTCAGAAAAGACAAAAAATACACAGTCAAGTGTTACTGCCTAATGTAATAAAACAGGTAACAAAGCTGAAGAAGTATTAGCTCATTTAACAGCTATAGATCGTATTTCTTTTGCAACTTTCGCCAATAATGAAGATATTAAAAATGGCTGTAAAGTTCAAGGATTTAAAATCCCTGATGATCGACATGCTATAAAGGCAACTGTTATGAACTACGCAAGATCAATAAAATTAAAAATTGCTCAAGAGCTTCAGCAAAAAAAAAAATAAACTGGAAAAAGGTTTTCAATTTTTTTTAATGAGTGGAACTAGAAGGTATTTGTGTATTGTGGTATATCAAACAAACTTTATTATGGTCTTGAAATGATTAGAATAATGGTTCAATGCCTTCAGAAAGAGCAGTTAATACTATTATTGAAATGTTAAATGATTTTGGCTCAAATTTGATCAATGATATTTTAGGGTGTGTTACTGATGGTGCATCAGTCATGAAAAAAATGGAACAAGAAATGGGAGTACCTGCCAACTTTGCTATTCCCATGGAATTTATCTTGCGGCTTGTGATATTCTTTATAAGAAAAAAGGTTCAGCAACAGAAAATCATCAATTTGTGAAAAAAGTCCTCTATATTGGTATTTTTCTTTTAAAAAAAAAAAAAAAGTAGGCCCCCCGGCCCCCCAGGTATTGTGAAGTGTGTGTGGGGGGGGGGGGGGAGAAAGGTACAATCCCCCCCCCCCCTTGGTGTCGTTGGCCCTGATTTGAAACACCGATTAATCTACCACCCCTAATCTGAATGGTATTATTGAACACTTATCAACAAATGGAACAAGTCTTAATGCATTTGTTTAAGTGGATTTTTCGATTTTCAGCCAATCCACTAAGCACAAAATAGGGTTGAGAAATATGCTTATTTCAGAAAAAGCAATCCATTGAACTAATTTTTTGAAACTTTTGTTTTGTTTGGTATTTAACTATAGATTTTATATCGTTAGTATAAAATATATCATTTTCATTGATACTGAAGTAAATTAACGTGAAGTAAGACTCATTATAAATGATTGGTTTACGATTTTTGAACTTCTGACACAATTGACTGCACTTAGTTCTAGCAACTGTAGATCACAGGCCCTCTAACTATATGGTTCAGTTTCATAGTGCAGTCATAAGTTATAACCGTTATACAAATTATTAAGCATTTTAAGGCATAATAAATTGATAGTTAAAATTTCTCAACTTTTAAATGTGCAGTATTTAAGATATATCTCTTTTAAATTTTTTATTTTATCATGTGTTTCTATTCATTTATGCCTTATTTTTTCTAGTCGATATAATGTTTGTGTTTTTTACAGAATACCATAAATAAAAACATAAACTGTGAAAACTCTTCAAAACTATATTCCATAAATTATACATTAACAATGTTTATGAACTCCATAAACAAAATATCAGCTGAATGCCAAACTTTGTATCGTCTTGTTAATTTAAGTGGAATCATTGGTGTATTGAATTAATTTTTAAAAAAGTATGAATGCAAATTTATGTAAACAAAGATTTGCTCTCTTCGTATACATTAGTAGTGAAAATAGTTACAGAGAATTCTCTTGATTTTGTTGGAAATATTGTTTCATCATTATCAAAATCTTTAGTATTATTAAAGATCATCAACTATAACATCTAATATACAGCTACGTTTTCAGGAAGCACTCATTATCCATTTTATCATTTAAAATGTTATCAAAAATTTACACAAAAAAATAAACTAATTTGACGTCAATAATAAAAGAAGATCTGGTTCATCAGCAACACTTAACAACTGAGCTAGAAAGTCCAGTTAAAAAATAAATAGTTTTAATCCCACTTACAGTACAACAGTAATAAGAAGAACACATATTACCAGAAATTTGTATAATTTGTAAAAAGACAAAAAATACAACTTTGTATTAATTCTTCATTGCAGTTATCCAGTAAAAAGTTACTTAAAGTAATCAATAAATTTAATATTATAAAATATTCATTTAAGGGATCGCCCATAAATTATGCAACGCTAAATTTAACTAATAGAAACAAAACAACAAAGATCAAAAGTTTTTAATTAAACCAAAAATTAAACTTTAAAGTTTAATGAAAACTGCAACATAAAAGAGTAAATGATCTCCTACTTCTGTTTTTTAAGTTTAGCGTTGCATAACTTATGGATTATCCCTAAGAAAATTATTAAATAAATTCTCTAGCTTAAAAGATTTGATTCTTTAGTTGAGTTTTGATTCTTTAGTTTAGTTTTGATTCTTTAGTTTAGTTTTGATTCTTTAGTTGAGCTCCAAGTTAGTGAGCTAAAACAATATTTTTATATGTTTATAACTATAAATAAATAATTATATCATAATTATATATATAGTTTTTTGTATGTTATCTTGTAGCATATATTTTAAGAATATGTCTGATGATTAGCAATAGTTGCACACTGTCATTTGGATGAATAAAACTTCAGAAATTCAACAATCATATGTCTGCAGTTTTGATAAATATTAATGATGATAAGTTAATAAATATAAATATAATAATAATGATATAAAACAATATGCAAGGCCCTTAAAATTCAACACTAACAGTTTTATTTAAAATACAGCTTAGCTTTTATTTAATATACAACAAAGAAGTAGTTTAATCAACAATTTAAAATCATTCAATTTGCAAAACAATTGAGAAGACAGATACATAATAAAAAATTCTTTTTAAAAGTTTTTTAATAAAAATCTAATTTCATTTGTTTTTTTTATATTTGAAATAAGCAAATGTAGATATATAATTTCTGTTTGACGACTCAAAAATAGTTTTGCAATATTTGCATTGGTTCTGGTACAGGTTAAACTTTATGGTTCCGCATGTAAGTATTGTGTTTCTATAGTAATTAGAAAATTTGTTCAAAATATGAATTCAGTTCCAAATATTTTGTGTTGCAATGTGATATAGTGAGAATTATTAGGTGGCTAGAATAATAAGTGGGAACTTAGAAGCAGTACATAACTTAGCAACATAATTTGTTATTATTCATTAACAAGATATTGTTTTGAACTAAATAATATAAAACTTCTATAAGATGCTATAAAAATGGTCTGGCAGAAACTAAAGATGCAGGATTACTTCGCTAAGCTGTTGAGCAAAGAAATAATGAGCAAAATATGTATGTGTATGTATGCTTATGTAAAGTATGCGTAATAAAGGTTGGTTAGTGAAGAGTCATTGTAAAATAATTAATGAATCTAGCGCTAACCCTGACTAGCATTAGAAAGTGTACTGAACTTTGTAAAGTGTAACTTTTTAACTAGTTGTGAAACTAAACGTTGCTTGTATATATAATCAAGTTTAAAGTGTTTAGATCAGTGTAACTGAACAAAGTGGAAGAACACTGATTCTGCTGCAGGTGACAATGTTTACAATGATTCTGCTGATGATCAAGACAAATACAAAAATTTACTTGAAGACTTGCATAAGAATAAATTTTTTAACTAATAGCTTTTAACTTTTATATTTAGAAATAATTCAAAACGCTTTTTAAAAAGAATCAGATTATAAAATGGTATTTTACTGCCTAAATCAACTATAAATCAATAAAATCAATATTTTTTACACAATAACAACAGGTTAATACGATACCTGTGTTAATACTTTAAAAATTTAAAAAAATCGATAGATCATTTGAGAGGTTTTTTGAAACTCAATAAGTCAAGAACTGTAGGTTTTTGAATTAAGAAATTTTTATTTTAGAATTCTTTTATAAATGGTCTTTTACATTGGAATTCTTTAGATCTCATAGCAACATCTTGGAGATTAACTTTAAATCATCTTTTTATATGTAATTTTTTTTCTTGGTTTAATTTTTTTTTTTTTTTTTAATGTCTTACTAATGTGTTGCTGAGTACAGTTGAACATTTTAGCAGTCTGTCATTGAGAAATTTCGTTTTTATGGTCAAACATAAGTTTAAGCCTTTTAATGTTTATCTTTTTTTTAGACTTTTCTCACCTTCACTTTCATTATTATTTTTTTTTAATTTCCTTTCTAGTTAAAAATTAAAAAAAAGTTTAACTGGCATTTCTTTTTTCAGCTCATTTCTAAAACGTTTAAAAATCATTTAAACATCTAAACAGTCGTAGTCAAGTTGTCAAAAAAAAAATCATTTACTTGGTAAGCAATACTGCTCGATCGCACACCATTCCTGTCCAAGCCTGATTATGTATTAAAATTTAATGATCTAATTTTCAATTATTTACATAAAGTTAATGAATTCTTTTTAATCAACTATTAAAAAGAAAATTCTCATTATTATTAATTCTTACTTATTATTATTAATTCTTACTTATTATTATTAATTCTTACTTATTATTATTAATTCTTACTTATTATTATTAATTCTTACTTATTATTATTAATTCTTACTTATTATTATTAACTCTTACTTATTATTATTAATTCTTACTTATTATTATTAATTCTTACTTATTATTATTAATTCTTACTTATTATTATTAATTCTTACTTATTATTATTAATTCTTACTTATTAATTCTTACTCTAATTTAACAAACTTAAAGATAGTTAAAAAATAGAGAAAGATTTTTTGATAGTTATATAAATCGTTTTTAAACAATCACCTACTTCCTGGTTTCGCCCTAATCATGGGATCATGATTTCTTTTGTGCTACTACCACAAGTAATTATTTTGTGGATAAAATAATTACTTGTGGTAGTAATTATTTTATCCACATAAAATCGAACTGAATCATTTGAGATTATTTGTGATAAACAGACTGATTTAAATTTTTACTATTCATTTGTTATGGTTCTGTTAATAATAAAAATACTTAACATTTGTTAAGTTGTTGCAGTATATTTCTCCTTAAACTTTCAACATTTTCAAATTTCAATGGAGAAAATCTCAGAAATATGTGTAAACAAAAATCTCTAAAACTTGCAAACTAACCAATTAAACTGCGATAAAAATTCTAACTAAAAATAATTTTTTCATGACACATTGTAGTAAAACCTTGATCTCCTATATGATATTTGGTGACACAATCCAATCCAAACTTTCTTCCATGACTGTAATGTATTATTTGAATAGCCCTCAAGTTAACGGTTAATGGTAAAATAATGAGTACAACAAGAATGACTTAGGAAAAAACAGCAAACTATAATCAAAAGACCATAAAAAAAGAAAAAAAAAAAACACTTAAGTAATCAAAAAAGTTATAAGTACAGATGCAACGAATAGTGAATACCGCCAAATACCGAATATTCAGCGTGGTGCTTGGCAAAACTTAGTTTTTTTAGGGTTCAAACTCCTTTGTTAAAGTGCATATTTCACCTAGACTGTGGTCTTTTTTGCATCGTTTGTGACTAGGTTGTGTCATAGCAGGCATTATTACATCTAATTTTTTAACTATAGTAATGAATAAATTATCATACTCTTTGAACCATTCAAAAAAATGTCAAAAACAACCAGCTCTTTCATTTCTAAGGTAATTTCAGAAGATGCTATAGATAGATACAAAGAATCCCAAACTTATTAAAAATTATACTATGTTGTAAAGATTATAATATATAATCTTTACAACAACCTGAACTTTATGCAACTGTTTCATTTTCATTCCCATTTAACTTTAATAAGAGCAAAAATTAAAAATTGCCTTTTTTTATTGATGCATCTTCCAAAACTAATTTGTAAGGATAAGTTAAAACACAACAAAAAAAAAAAAAAAAAATTTTTTTAATGATCTGAGAAAAATTGAGATGTGTGACACATATTACAATCTTTTTCCGTGAAAGATTAATCCTTCTTAGCAAAAGGCTATTTGACACCAATGAACCATCATTGGTGTCTTGTATCACTGGTGATGATTCATCTCCACTTCTTAAGAAGAAAAAAAAATGTAAATGAAACTATCAAATTAGCCTATACAGAAAATATGCACATATAAAGATTTAAAAAAGAAAAATACAATTCCAAATGAATTAATTTTTAAATGAAACTGTTTAACTATATTGGACAACAAAATCTAATAAGTAGTGGTCAGCAAACACATAATATTATCCTAACAGAACTTGCAAAAATTTTCTTATTACTTGCAGGTGGCAGTGTACATAGTAAATATTTTAAGAAGAATAAAATTTTCTTATTACTTGCAGGTGGCAGTGTACATAGTAAAAGAAGAATAAATCATCTAAGAGGAAAAGAGCAACCATTTGCTATCATCAAGCGATGAATGTTTTAATCATAACTTACAAATCTTTAGGTTTTAAGTATCAAATACTCTAATTATTTGTTTTTGTAAAAAATTAAAAAAATATTTAATGATTGTTTATGTAATCCATTTTAATGCCACTTTTTTATTACAATCTCATATTTAGTATTCAGCCAAAGAGTTTTCAAATTTTAGCTGTATACTGAAGAGTAAAAAAAGTAGCCAAATAGAATACCAAATACAGTATATTTGTGGCATCTCTAGTCATAAGTTACAAATTAAAAAAAAAATTTTGTCACGCAATGAGTAGTTTTTAAAAATATTTACTGGCCCAATTTGCCTCTCAAGTACCTATGCTCAAGCTACCCTATCCTACTTATGCCTTTGGTTAAAAAGATAAAAATTTAGTCTTTTTTAATACTATATAATTTTAAATGTTATAAGTAACAAAAATTCAAACAATATTTGAAAATATTGTTTGAATTTGTTACTTAAAACATCATAAACTTAAATCAAGTATTACAAGGACTTGATCAAGAATACTTGATTAATTACTAATAACAATGAATACTCAAGTAAGCAAAAGTTTATATAAATGTATATTAAATATTAAAGTAGCTAAGTAAACTTTCAACTGATGATCTAACATTTTCATAACCATACTAAATCTTCCAATCTTTGAACATTTAGCATAATATATTTAATAGGGGTGTTCAAAAAAAAAACATTTTTAAAACGCGAATATACAAGAATCCAAATTTGGGGTAAATATAATAAAAAATGCGAAATTCTTTTTTTGCACATTTGAGCTGAAATATTTTTTTGTGAAATTGTTTTTTAATATAAACAATAATTATGAAAAGACTAGGATACACAACAATCTAAAAAAAACTTAAAACCATTATGATCACATTAGAAAAATTTTTTTTACAAAATATTGAGAATTACCAAATAATTTAGAAACAATTTGGGGCATTTTTCGGGGTAATTTGCTGCTTGAGCACAAGGTTAATGTCAATACTTTTGGAATTTTTTTTTGTAATCACATTTTTTTAATATTTGTCCAAAATTTGGCTTCTTGTGTAATCTCATTTTAAAAATTTTATTTTTTTGAACACCGCAAATTTAACAATAAATTTAATTTATGAACTAAAACTATTAACTTTTTTAATATTAACTTTTATTTAAAATAATATTAATGTAACAAATAATTTTATTAATCTCAAAGCAAATATTTCTATGATAATGGTAATAATTCATAATTTTCTATGATAAGGTAAATAACTACCTTAGCTGTCAAAATTAAATTGATATTAGACATTATTAAAGATATTTATTAATAAAATTGTAATAAATTGTAAAAAAAACCTTGTTTTAAATTTTGAATTGAAAACGTAAAAACCTGTAAAAAAATATTTAAAAAAAAATTCAATTTTTAACTTAACTAATGTTTCAAAAACCCTGCCACAGAATAAATTGAAAACAAATGCTTACCTGGGATTGGAAGATCAATCTGAACATCAAAATCATGCACAGAAAACATATCAGGGTCTTCGTTTTCATGTGAAGTTCGAGCAGAAACCTTATTTGTGGTTTCATTTGATGTCCGAGTGGAATGTTTATTTATGGTTGGTGCAAATAATAGTGTTTCAAGCGTCTAAAAATATATCTGTAACTATAAATTTGTTTATTAATCATATAAATTAATTTAACTAAGGATATTTGCAATTTTATTTAGTAATGCTTTTGCTAAAAATAAAAGTAGAAAAAAAAAGCTTGGTAACTAATGAAAAATGTATGAAAAAAAAGCTTAGTAACTAAGGATCATTGTAAACTTATTTAGTAATATTTTTGCTAAAATTAAAACAAAAACAAAAAACACATGGATTAATAGCTTATTAGTAATATTAGTTTATAAAAAAAAGAAAAGAAAAATAAAGATTTCTCCTTAAATCAATGAGTTTAAACATTGAAGTTTTTCTTTAAATAAATTAAAATTTTATGAACCTAAATAATATGAAATAATTTTGCACATTTAATAATAATCGAAAGCATTACTTCCATATCTATCATCAAAACAATTCTCCAGAAAACAGACGCCTGTTTATTACTGCTAGGAACCATTGTAAAAAGATTTTGTCTAACGCCAAAGCCCGCCATTCTCAGACCATGAAATCTGGAGAGCAATCCGATTGGTCTAACTACCGCCCCATTAGTCTTCTTCCTATCATAAGCAAGGTTTTTGAATCTTTAATTAACAAAAATTTAATCTTTCATCTCGAATCTCATAACCTACTTTCTGATCATCAATATGGATTTTGATCTTCTCGTTCTACGGCTGATTTGCTATCAGTAATAACCAATAGGTTTTATCGCGCATTAGATAAATGTATCTGGTGTATATGGAAACATCTTTAAGATTATTGAATCCTTCCTTTCCAATCGTAGTATAAAAGTTGTCCTTGATGGACAGCACTCTTCTTATTCTGTAACCTTAGGGGTTCCTCAAGGTTCAACCCTTGGCCCTATACTCTTTTTAATTTACATTAACGATCTTCCAGATATTCTCACATCTAAGGTGGCACTGTTCGCTGATGATACTACCATTTATTCTTGTCACGATAAAAAGCCAACTCCCTCTGATTGCTTGCAGGGGGCATTTGAGCTTGAAAAGGATCTCACTTCTGCTACAGCATGGGGCTCACAGTGGCTGGTGAACTTTAATTCAGATAAAACTCAATTTTTTCAGCCAATAGTTATCGCAATAATTTAGACCTTCCTATATTTATGAACGGTAATGTACATGATGAGTCTCCTACCCTTCATCTTCTAGGATTAAGTCTTACTTCTGGTCTTTCTTGGAAACCTTATATCAAATCCGTTGCAAAATTAGCATCTGCTAAAGTTGCTTCATTTTATCGAGCTCACCACTTTCTTACTCTAGATTCTATTCTCTATCTCTATAAATCTCAAATCCGGCCTTGTATGGAATACTGTTGCCATATCTGGGGCGGATCTTCTAATGATGCCCTTTCTCTATTAAACAAGGTGCAAAAATGCATTGTAAACATAGTTGGACCTGCTCTTGCAGCCAACCTTCAACCTCTGTCACATCGTCGTAATGTTGCTTCTCTTTTTCTGTTCTACAAATAATATAATGGGCACTGCTCTAAAGAGCTAGCGTCTCTTGTGCCATCTACTAAAATTCTTATTCAATTAAGTCTCATCCTTTTTCTGTTACTGTTCCTAAGTGCTCCAAAAACTCTTACTCGTCTATTTTTTTTCCACGAACATCAGTTCTTTGGAATTTGCTTCCTTCATCTTGCTTTCCTGATTCATATAATTTGCAATCTTTTAAGTTGTCTGTCAATCGTTATCTTGCTCTACAATCTTTATCTTTTCTCTTCCAGTAACTTCCAACACTAATTAGTGGTTGCTTGCAGCATTGTTGGAAGCGAAGATATTTAAAAAAAAAATAACAATAAAATAAAAAAATAAAATTAAAAAAAAAACACAAAGAGTAAAAAAAAATTTTGTCTGAAGTTATTTGTTGCCATTACTTATCTAAATAAAATGATAATCTAAACATGTTACTTGATCAAATTTATCACCTTATATTTATATACAAGAGAAAACTTTATTATTAGCATATTTTTGTTTTGGATCATGAATAGTAAAAATCCAATAATGTGTCATTTTTCGAGAAAGAAACAATCTACTAAACTCCCCTACAACTTTGTCTAAATAAAGGAGATATTATGCAAAACAGTATTATGGAATAGTGGTGAATTGTTAGTACAGCAGCAAATTCAATGAAAACTTGAATATTGGTTAAAGGAAAAGTTGTACAAAACTTATATCAGGTGTTCAGTGAAAACTTATATCAGGTGTTCAGTGAAAACTTATATCAGGTGTTATGTGAAAACTTATATCAGGTGTTCAGTGAAAACTTATATCAGGTGTTCAGTGAAAACTTATATCAAGTGTTCAGTGAAAAATTTTATCAGGTGTTCAGTGAAAACTTATATCAGGTGTTCAGTGATAACTTATATCAGGTATTCAGTGAAAACTTATATCAAGTGTTCAGTGAAAACTTATGTCAGGTGTTCAGTGAAAAAGTCATTTTGTTGGGCAAAGAAAAATATTAAAAAAATATGTTGTAAGATCTTTTACATTTATGAATTGAAATAAAAAAAAATTAAACTCAAATTTATTTTATTACTCCTCAATTATATTGTTATTTCCTAATCTATAAATTATTAATCAAAAGCATTAAAACTAGTTACCAACCTTTTCTTTTGAATGAACTGTTTCATTGTTTTGCTAAAAGTTAAAAAAATAATATATCTAAATGTTAAAAAAATAACAATAAAGAATCAGAAAATCACAAAGATCATACTTCATACTTTAAAATACAGTGGGACATCAACAAAACAAATAAAATACAGTGGAACATCAATAAAATAATTAAAATTCAGCAGAACATCAACAAAAATTAAAATACAGTAGAACATCAACAAAACAATTAAAATACAATAGAACTTAAACAAAACAAATAAAATACAGTAGAACTTAAACAAAACAATTAAAATACAATAGAACTTAAACAAAACAATTAAAATACAGTAGAACATCAACAAAACAATTAAAATACAGTGGAACATCAACAAAACAATAAAAACTAATTGTATATATATAAACATTTATGTTTGATTTGAAAACAATGCAACATTTAAACAACAAAGTACTTAAACAACAAAAATAAAATATCTAAACAAAAACCTAACAAATTAGACAAGATGTTAATACTTTTAATGGTAAATAAATGGATTGTTTTTTATTTTAATTTTTTATTTATTTTCATGTTTAAAAATTATCGCCTAATGGTTACTGATGTCTTACAAAAAGTTTTTTTATCTTTAGATTTTTTAATATCTTTAATTTTTTCATATACTAAACTTAAATATTTTTAAGAAATATTTAAAGCCTTTTAAATTAAAATAATTACTAAACTTATACAAATCTTAAATCCAAAAGAAAAATCTTGAGCCAACATAATTTAAAAAAAAGAAGCACTTTTTAAAAAGTTAATGAAAGCCCTTTAGTTTAAACTATTGTAAAATACATTTAAAAAAACACATCTAATAACACAACATTATAATAATATTGATTTAGCAAAATAAGTTTTTATTAACAAGATAAATAATATATGAATGTGCTTTTAATAGCAACAAAAAATTTTTATCTATTAGTTTAAATGTATTGTTTAGTTATAAAAATATAAGGAAAAAAAATTTGAAACATAGCGATTATGGACTACCTTGAACTTTATTCTTGGGTTTATTTCAGTTATATTTGACTAAGCTGAAAAAACAAAAGATATCATAGAATCTTTTTTCTCTGATAATACCTTATGAAAAAAAAAAATTGGATTTGATGGTAGTAAAATCCATGTAATATTTAATCAAAAAAAAAAGTTAGCATTCACAATATTGAAAATGCTCTGCAAATTACTTGACACTTGGAAGCAAATGGAAGCAGGATTATTTGAATTGGAAGCAGGATTACTTGAAATGGAAGCAGGATTACTTGAAATGGAAGCAGGATTACTTGAAATGGAAGCAGGATTACTTGAAATGGAAGCAGTATTACTTGAAATGGAAGCAGGATTACTTGAAATGGAAGCAGGATTATTTGAATTGGAAGCAGGATTACTAGGTGATTGCAAAAAAATCAATCAAATGTCCCATTGAGTCAAAAAGTAATGTCTGTCTTCACTTTCAACATTAAAAAAATATAAAAAAAGATTTTTGAGAATAAAGAAGAAAAAAAAAATTATAAAGAGTAATAGGCGCAGTGGAGTTGGAAATTATGATCTTTTATATCAAAAAATGTTGAAAGAATTGAATATGACTTTGTAACCAATTGCAGTATTATTACTATGAATTAAACTTTTAACCAACTTAAACAAAATACTTTAAGAGAAAAATTATTATATAAGCTAGACAAACTATAAAACCAATATCAACTTGTGAAACCCCATTTAAGTAAGTTGTTTACAAAAACTGGTTTTCTTACTATTGGTTTAAATAAAATTTCTTAAGTAAAAAACTTATTCAAACAAAATTTTTTTGTTGGTATTAAAGGGTTATAAAAATGGACTACTTAGTACTATGGAAAAAAAAGGAAAACAATAACAACAGGTAACAGCAGAAATAATAACAACAGGTAATATAGCAGTAACAATAACAACAATTAACATAGCAGAAACAATAACAACAGGTAACATAGCAGAAACAATAACAACAGGTAACATAGCAGAAACAATAACAACAGGTAACATAGCAGAAACAATAACAACAGGTAACATAGCAGAAACAAAAACAAGAGGTAGCATAGCAAAAACAATAACAACAGTTAACATAGCAAAAACAATAACAACAGGTAACATAGCAGAAACAATAACAACAGGTAATATAGTAGTAACAATAATAACAATTAACATAACAGAAACAATAACAACAGTTAAGATAGCAGAAACAATAACAACAGGTAACATAGCAGAAACAATAACAACAGGTAGCAGCAGAAACTGCCATATAGCATAACTAAAAGAAATCTTCACAAGAATTCAAGTTCTAATAATAGCATGGTTAGTATCAATTAGCAAAAGTTAGTTAAAAATTATAGCACAGTTGTTTAATATCAACATTTCAGATACTCTTGTTAATACTCAGAATTTTTTGCCAAAGAAAATATTTATGCCAATATAAAAGCTATTAAACATATCAATACAAAATGTTTATACCAATACAAAAGCTAGTGTACAGATTGGTTTTAAAAATCTTGATGAGCCAAGGTTAACAACAAAATATCAAGATCAACACATATTTAACTATAAAAAAAAAACTCCTAAATAATTAATTCAGTCTACACCACTAAAAAAAAACTTGGGTCTAATTACTTTTAAGAAATCAAAATTATTATGCAAATTTTGTAACAAAATAATGAAATTTTTATCACCATAAAAAAAAACATTTTAAAAACATCAAAATATGACACAAAATTTGAAATATTAACTAATGAATAAATGATAAAAGTGCTTCTTTTGTCAATTTTTATTTTTTGTTAATCTTTGTCATTGATATACTTATATATGTATAGATTAGAGGCAGTTATATAAAAAAAAAATAAAGAAATTTTAATTTCATGTTTAAGGTTGTTTTAAAATAAAATATAACAATCAAGATTATTTACTTTTTTTTTTGCTTTTTTTTCTAATTTAAATTTTACTTTTAATTCAAATTTCCAATTTATAATCTTTTCAAAAAGTCTTCATAAAACTTCCATTTAAATGATATTTCTAAATGTTTGTAAAAACAACTGTACAACCCAACAGCATGGAAACAGGTAATAAAATAGTAAAACCAAACTGATATTAACATGGTTTAATGTTTATGATTTAATTTTGAACTTGAAAATAATTCTATGCAAATAAATATACATTATTTAAGGTAGCTTTAAAGTCATAAGAAAGCAGAAGCTGGCGTGTTTAAAGCCCTTATAAAAATTCCTGCTTTTAAAAAGTTACATCACAAAAAATAAAAATAAATTTCAAGCAGATTTTTTTTAAAAAAAACTTGAATAACCCTTTATAAATTTCTTCATATACATACAGTAGAATCATGAGTTGTAGAGGTATCTGAACCATTCTTTTGAGAGGTATCCAAAACATCTTTTTGCTGAAATGTTGATTAAAAGTTATTATACATCAGTACATTATAAACAAAAAATTATGTTAACCATCAGATCAATGCATGTAAAACACAGCTTCTGCTAGAATATAAAAGTCATAAATACAAACAAATACCTTATCTCCAGGAGAAGCAGAACCTGCCACAGCCTGTAAAAAGTTTTTAGTAAAAATATTTAAAAAGTTTTGCATATATTTTTTGCATATATTTTTGCACATATTTTCCTAGACCAACAACAACTGATTGTATACTAAGATATATATATATATAAATACTTTTTAACAAAAATTGATTATATAAAAATAACTGATGTGTACACTAAGCTATTTTTTTTATTTTAGTTTATTTTTTGATTTACAAATGTACATACTGCCTGGTTAAGCCTAAACTCTCAGTTAATACATGAGCCAAACCCTCTTTTTTTATAGCTATTTTAAAAAGTCATAAATTATGCTTTAATGAGGCAATCTTATATTACTATCATTTGTCTATATATATATATATATATATATATATATATATATATATATATATATATATATATATATATATATATATATATATATATATATATATATATATATACAGGCATATTGTATATATATACAAAAGTATATATATTTTTTCTCAAAAGTATATTTATCATTGTAACTAAAATAAAATAAAAAAAGTCATTTTTACAAAAAAAAAAAAAAAAAAAAATTAATTGCATAATAAACTGCAATACTTTTTAAGAGGCATGGTTATTGCAACAAAAAAAAAAAAAAAAAAAAAAGAAAAAAAAAGTTTTTAATTAGATTGGACTAACTGATAAATATAAAATTGTTACACTTTAAATTATTGTGTAATAATTAATATTTTATGTAATGAGTTATATAATTTATATATTAATTACTTTAAT